TGGTTATTGCTTGGAGGGATCTAAACAGGAGGGAATGGTAAGCCAGTGAAAACCGTATCTGGAAAGAACAAGATGAACGAACAGCTTGAGCGTTTGTCCAGTTGATCCGTCTTGGGAGAGGGTCTTGATTGTGTTGAGGAGCGTTTGCCTGTAAAACCGTTCCGTGGGTTAAAGACAGATTTTGCGATTGCAATCAATGAACAGAGGGATCCACACATGGATCCCTCTGTTCATAGATTGCATCATAGGATTTGTAGGTGTTAAATGGACGACAAAAGATAATTGACAAATAAATGAAAAATGAATGAAAATGGAAGAAACCATCGAAAACGCCCCATAGGAATTGATTCTCGGCGCTGGACGAGTATATGGGAAATAGGGGCATTCTACCAGAGACCAGAGTAAGGGCTGTACGGACTCACAGTGAAGGGTGAGAAAACTTTTGGCAATGCTAGGCAGCAGTCGCACACCCTTATCCCTGAGCCAGAGTAGGCGTGGCATTTGAACATGGCACGGAATGGGTTACTCGTGGAAGTCTGGGACAACTGTCATCTTGTTCTGTGTTGGACAGAGACATGACAACAATTGTGTCAAGATGAAAATATCTCACCAGAAGCACAGCCACCTTCAGGTTCAGTTGAAGAACGCAGCCACGCCTACCCGATCTCAGGGATTTCGAGTATACGTACACGAGCGCCCATGCTTGGGATAGGCAGGTTTCTGCCCATGAGGAGTCTCGTTCGGGCAGCGGAAGTGGTTACACTGAGCGGCAGGGAGCGCCTCCTGTAGAAGGAAAGGACCTCAATTCTCAGGTAAACTGTGAATCCCACGGAAAGAGAGATCGTATTTGCGTACTCAGTGGTGCATGTAGAGACACTCTCGAGGATGTATGCTTCTTCCAGGCATCAATGGACCCAAACAAGTTACGGTTTCGTTGGTTGAGCACCATTAGGTTTCAAAAGCGAGGGGCGAGTCTTTTCGGTGGGGGGGGGGGTTCAAAGCCGCTGCTACGCTCACTACTAACATAAGCCCGTAATTTCATCCCACCTATCTTCTTTATACGAAGTATAATTGCAGAATGTGTCGTCAAGTGATGAGCTGGACAACTCTCTCAAAAGTCTCACCTGTCTTGCCCTGAGTGGAATGCAGTGCCGTAGAGCTCGGAGTCGATGGCGGTGGCTACCAGGGCGAACTGAGTCTTACCGTCGCCGATCGCAAATGGACTCACAAAATCGAGCAGCATTTGTTTCAGCTAGAAGATCATGCCTTATTCTCAGGAAACGATGGAACGTAATATCTCTAGAACTCGACAAGGAACAAAATATGAAATTGGAAGAATTGGAGGAGACATGTAGGAGAAAGCAGAAGTGAAAGAGCTCAGAAGTTTATGCAGGGTCAAGCATACATCGTGAAATTCGCGACGGGTTGCTGTTGCATACGTCCCTCTCCACTCCTCTGGTACTGAACACAGGAGCGACGTGACTTGCAGTATGGGTGATGCATTCGGAAAGGAGGTTAAATACGTGCTGCACTCCATGGAAGAGTTAATCAGTGCCTCTGTGGATAAATTCCTATTTAACATGTGCGGAGGAGGTGCACGGGAAGCCTACCGGGCTTTCTAGACCTACCGGCTTTTTTGATGGAAATATTGGGATTTTTGAAGGGAGGGTCCACATGTTCCAGCTGAAGCTGAAAAGCGAAATCCGCGTCGGGCAAATGTATGCAAGCTGCAGCGGAAGGCATTGTGTGCTCTTAGGAGAGAAACCTTTTAGTTTCTAGTACCATGTAGATCCATCCACCGTTATATCCGAGCGAACATACATGCACTGAAAGGTCCGTTAATGGGAGGTGCGCACATTAAAACAGGCAATCCTTTTAATGCTCTTGGCGAGATGCATTTCATGATTGAATGTATAGGTTATAACTATGATAGAATATAATCAGTGTGTGAGTACAAGAATTTCATGCTCCTCTCAATGTGCAGACGCAGCCGGAGCATGCTCAATGCCTCGGCTTCGAGTTTTTTCGTTTGGACGGCGTCATCGTGAGCTTAAAAAACCATTCTAAAAACCGCCCTTCTAAAAAACTAATCTCCTTCAATTTCAGTGCTTTTGTTCCATGGTTCTGGTAAGTGGTTCCTAATACCCAGAACTAATCGGTGTTAAACTTGCACACACACATATACAGTTATACTCGAAATCCCTGAGATCGGGTAGGCGGAGCATTCGAACACTGTAAAGAACTGGTTACTAGTGGAATATTATAGTCTGGGACAACTGTCATCTTGTTCTGTGTTGGACAGAGACACGACAACGATTGTGTCGAGGTGAAAATATCGCATCAGAAGCGTAATCTCGGATAAGTTGAAACATGCGGCCACGCCTACCCGATCTCAGGGATCTCGAGTATACATCCTGAAGAACCGATACCTACACACGAAATCCCTGATATAGGCGTGGCCGCATGTTTCAACGTACCTTTGAGGCGTCTACGCTTGATGCGAGATTTTCATCTCGACACAATCGTTGTCGTGTCTCTGTCCAATACAGAACAAGATGACAGTTGTCCCAGACTGGAATATTCCACCAGTAACCAGTTCCTTACAGTGTTCGAATGCTCCGCCTACCCGATCTCAGGGATTATGAGTATACCTCCATACACTCTACAGTCACTAAGAGGGGCGCGGCGGGTTGTACGGACAGCCCCTTTTTGGTGGTGGCTGTCGTACATCCCCCCCCCTATTTTCCGCGATGTGATGCTTGAACCTGGGTTTGGGCGCATAAAAAGATCACATAGTGTATAAATACGAGTTTGTATAGCAGGCTAGCCACACGATGTTTGCTCGCCATCAAATCACATTTGATTGTGGTACTGGGAGGCGCATCCAAAACATGTTGTAGACGGTTGTGGAAAAGCAGACCGTATCTGTCAGCTCACGTAACTCCAAACTCTCACTGCTGTTAATTCAAATATGTAGTGAGAAGCGATTTCATAGCTTTAGATTTAACTGAAGAGAACTCTTAAATGGATAGCGAATGCACACCTGAGCGAAATCGCTAGCACTGATAGCGGATGACGTATCAACGACCAAATAGACATCATAATTAAGTGATGCCAAAGTGCAAGGCACTGTGATGTCCTGAGTTGGGAGTGGCTGAGGAGGTGCCGCCGTTGTCGTAGGCATGCCAATGTTGCTGAATGTCCAACTTCAGATGAAGGAAAGTATCTACCTTTGGAAATTTGAAGGAATAGAGGTAAGAACTTACGGCATCCATTCTGGTAAAGCCATTGCGTCACGAACTTGCAGTTGATCGCTGTTGAACGAATAGAAGACATTACTGCAAACAAAGAACGAGCCTATTACAAGCTCAATGACGTTACAAGACCTAATTTTCACCTTGGGGCTCCTGATAGTTGCTTGCAGGGCAGATGCTTGGTTCTGTACCGATTTGGAGCCGAGTCCAATTGCGAAGACCTCAAAAAAGAGTTCGTTTTAGGCTTGAAGTTCCAATATTGAAGATTAAGACCAAAGAAGATTAAGAGAGAAGATTAAAATCGTTACCATGTTGTACTTTCTTTGAATTTGTTGAGGTAGAGAGCTACCGATCACAGCAGTACCAGTCCATCTGTAATGTATCAGCATCATTAACCGAAAATTTCCTTCCAATATGAGCAGCTTACGCATCAGCTGAGATCACTGCCATTATATGTTTGTATCCGTTGCGGAATCCACTCGAAGCCGTCACTTGGGTCTCTTCCAATGTCAACGCCCTCAAAATATGAAAGTACAAGACTGTATGGGGCACTATTTACCCTTTACTGCCCCAGCCATCCGAAATCAGGCCGGTTCCTGACCGACTTTTTTCTCCGTGGGCAGAATTCGCTGAAAAGTTGGCTCCAGGGGTAGTTCGACCCGCTGAACACGAATATCGCATCCGCTTGACCCGAAACCTCCTGGCGCCCGCGCCACGGGCGCCGGCGCCAAAATACTCGAAATCACCAAATTCGCTGAAAACTTGCTCCTAGGGGTAGTTTGACCCCCTGATCACGAATACCACTTCCATATTGCATGAAAAAATGCATGACCAACGCTTCTTCGAAAATCCCGCGCTCGCCCAGCTTTCACACGCAAGCTCGTGGGAAATGGGATTTCCCACGGAATCGTGTGGGAATTGAGTTTCTCGTGGTGACGTCTTCAAAACTGACCTATTAACTTGGGAAGCCCCTTTGCTCCTCATTTAGCTATTCTCATGGCTCTGAACGTACTTCATCGCCGCAACCGCGAGATGGAGCTGACTGATTTCAAATGGCTCGACCTAGTTGAGAAGCTCAAAATGGATTCTCATGAATTCCGAGCATGGTTGCGGAAATCGATTAATACTAACCCAACGGCCCTCTTTAGGGCCACAAATAAGAGCGAATACTATTTCTCATGCAAGATAAATGTGAAATTCGTGTTCACATGGTCAATTTACCCTAGTTGACAAACTTTCAGCCAGTTTAGTGATTCAGAGTATTTTGGCGCCGGCGCCCGTGGCGCGAGCGCCAAGAGGTTTCGGGTCAAGCGGATGCGATATTCGTGTTCAGCGGGTCGAACTACCCCTGGGAGCAAGTTTTCAGCGAATTTGGTGATTTCGAGTATTTTGGCGCCGGCGCCCGTGGCGCGGGCGCCAGGAGGTTTCGGGTCAAGCGGATGCGATATTCGTGTTCAGCGGGTCGAACTACCCCTGGGAGCAAGTTTTCAGCGAATTCCTAGTTGACAAACTTTCAGCCAGTTTAGTGATTCAGAGTATTTTGGCGCCGGCGCCCGTGGCGCGGGCGCCAGGAGGTTTCGGGTCAAGCGGATGCGATATTCGTGTTCAGGGGTCAAACTACCCCTGGGAGCAAGTTTTCAGCGAATTTGGTGATTTCGAGTATTTTGGCGCCGGCGCCCGTGGCGCGGGCGCCAGGGTTTCGGGTCAAGCGGATGCGATATTCGTGTTCAGCGGGTCGAACTACCCCTGGAGCCAAGTTTTCAGCAAATTCTGCCCACGGAGAAAAAAGTCGGTCAGGAACTGGCCTGATTTCGGATGACTGGGGCAGTAAAGGGTAAATAGTGCCCTGTATGGATAATGTGCTAGTCTACATACTGATAAAGCTGTCTGTCTTTCGTATTGTCATGAGTGATAGAATTAATCGAGTTGATGAGTGTTGTACGATTGTTGCTTGACGACAGGCTTCCATAGGACTTAGCCGTGGTAGCATAGGTGTAGATGGTGACCTGAAAAGGAGCGCTCTAAAAGAGGAAAACAGAGCCAGAACGCCAATGATAAGGACACCAAGCCAAATTATAAAGCTACCCAGAGAGCGCATCTGAAGCTGCACATAGTCGCAGGTAAGTGCCAGCCGTTTCAGTTGTTGTTTCCGCGTAGGAATTGATCTTGCAGAAGTTCTGAGTGGGCACGAGCGCTGCATCATTCGGAACGTAGGCAAGCCAAGCACCCACTACTGTGAGAAAAACTGTGCATTGCGACCACAACATCGGTCTTCCCTTCATCAGGATTTCTAACAAAAAGGCAGACCTCAAAACTAACAGTAGAGGAAGGACCAGTATGGAATCGGTGCTCATTTATCACTTTATCTGAATATTTCGACCATGCTGCTGAGTCATGCCAAGGGTTCGAGCGGTAAATCCAGTAACACGGTTACTGACGTCTTGAACTTTTGTGCATGGTCCTGTTGCGAAACCAGATAAAATGGAGGACAACAGCTGCTAAAGCATCGAAGCGTGCAAGAAACATACGGCGAGCTAGCAAACGGGCTTTTTCAGAGGAGGGGACTTCGGGAGAGTGAGCCGTTTATAATCCATGAGAAGCTGGAATGTGTGAAGTCACAGCGATCATAGACGACGAGAGAGTGCGGAGAAAAACAGAACATTGACGCGTTCAAGAGGATTGAGTTCAAATTGTACGTAAACTCAGTAACACAGACCAGCGCAATTCCCCTTCGGAAGGGGCCTCAAGGGAGCTCAAGGATTAGGGCAGTGATACGAATACGACATGACCAACGAAAAGGATGGAGCTCCTGTTATTACCCATCCCTTTTTGGGACGCGCGGCGCATTCTACTTCCATTAAGTGTCGTAGATCCCTAATAAATACGATATAACATTTACAACGAAATGCGGAGCGAGCTAATATAGAGTTCAGTCATCTGGGAGCTTTCATCCTCCCAGACGAACCTGAGGCCAATTCACCACCCCTGGTGGTTGA